TTATTAGCGATTGAAGTTTAAATATAACGATTTATACAAAAATATTATTGTTATTTGGTATTAGGTATTCAAAAAATATTAATGATAGAAACATGAAATTATTCAATTACTACTTAAATTATAATTTTTATTTATATTGTATACTTAGGGTGGGTTGCATAAACGTTCATTAGCGATTTACAGAGCCGTTAACGCACTAACGATCCGTTAAAAAAAATTGGGTGTTGCTTGAACGACTGTTAACGTTAACGGGTCTGTAAATTATCGGCTATTGGACCTGTAAACTACAGGTCCGATTTTGGTTCGTTAACTTTTAACGATCCGTTAAATATGGTGATAAGAAATATTAAAATTTCTTATCAGCCACATTTTTTTTTATTAGGGCCGGTTGCATAAAGACCAGTCTGTAAATGTTTTCACGGACCTGTAACTTAATCACTCGTTAACTCGTTAACGGCTTGTAAAAAAAAAATGAGTTTCATAAAAGATTATTATTATTTTGTATTTTATTGATAACCATAACTACCAAATAAATTATACCACATTTAATTTGATTACAATGATTGCTGATTATATTATTAATACTAATAAAAAAAAATATAATATAATATAATCAGCAATCATTGTAATCAAATTAAATGTGGTATAATTTATTTGGTAGTTATGGTTATCAATAAAATACAAAATAATAATAATCTTTTATGAAACTAATTTTTTTTTTTACAAGCCGTTAACGAGTTAACGAGTGATTAAGTTACAGGTCCGTGAAAACATTTACAGACTGGTCTTTATTCAACCGGCCCTTAGTGATTTTTTTTAAATATTTAGACTAATTGTATACTATTTATACCTAGGCATTTGAAATTTTCAAGTTTTTTTTTTCAGTTTTAGTAAAAAGTTGTTTGCCCCATCAAAAAGCATGGCAAATTTATAAAAGATCCCTCATAAGTTGTACTCATATCAACTTAAAAATCAATCGAAAAAAAAACACTAAAAAATAGGAAACTGAATATGTCCGTAAACAGCTCAAAACAAGTCAAAATATTTTGAAAATTTTATCTTATATAGAAAATGCTAATAGAAACATTTAGTGAAAATTGCATGTATATACATTCATATATACACATATTGTCGAAAACCAATTTTGCATAATAATTCACGTTTTCCCTTCATTTTTATTTTGTTTCTCCCGGGGCTTTTGAAAACTATTCGGAAGTCTCTACTATACTAGATTCACTATCCCATCGAACAAGATACTGTTGAAGAAAATCGAATCACTTTTATTGTCCCAAACAATGAATACAAACAGAAAAATAAATAAAAAACACATGGTAAAATCAATACATTATTCATCGCTCCGTTCAAAATCTTTTTGTTAGCTGAAAAAAAATGAATGTGTGTGCTACCCCTTTAGGATCCCTTTAGGATTTAGCTACCTATTATATGGGTTAAAAATAAGCTATAAACACCCTCTTGTATTTATAGTGTGTGAAATTAATTTATAATTTCTTGTTGTTTTATACACTTTTGATATATTTTATCGGCTAGATAACTGTTAACGTCATTGTTGTGATGTTGAAACTATATTATTATCTTTATTTATTTACATTATATAAATTGACATCTATTGTTGCTGATGTTAAAAATTGTACCTATTGTATATATTTAACAATAAATTCAGACAACTAAGTCAAGGAAACTATAAAGATTATAATAAAAAAAAAAATTTAAAACATTGTTATAATCCCATTGCAATTGTATCAACATTATTTTTAAATAAAATTATATAAATTGTTTAAACTATTTACGTGTTATAGTTAAACTAGGCATGTATAGTGTATATAGTAAATTATATGTATCTAAATGAAATAATTCCATTGTAATATAATAATATAACATAACATAATCTAAAATGAGAATAAAATTACACATAACACATGAGGTTGCCTTAATATACAGTTACTTTTTACCAACGTTTTCCGGGGTTTTATTTAAACAACGTTATTATGTTGAACTATGTGATTATTTCATAACAATAATATTGGTTTATCAAATCTGTCTTCGATTTTTATCTGTCATGCGTAAAGACCCAATTAGATATAGCCAGTATATTTCTCTCAAACATTTATTTATTTTATTTATATAACAATAGTAATTTTCTAAAATAAACGTAACTAGTTCTCAGTACGACGGTCACACATGAATTCATTAAGAAAAAAAAGTAGATCTTTGAAAATAAACGTGTTATGTATTTGTGGTAATAAAATTATAAAATAATATATATTAATTACAATATTGGTATGTTACCTGTATATCAGCCATTATAAATACAAGGAGTATTATTACATTATACTAACGGTAATACGATAATATAATATAGAATAATGTACTGTATAGTAACATTAATGGTGTAATATACTAGTATACTAACACAGTAACACTTTAACATACCGTCATTATACATAAGTTATAACTTATATTATGTAAAAAAAAAATATAAATAATATAAAAATAATAATATAATAGTAATGATTATAATATGTATAATAATATAAAAGTATAATATGTGTGATAATTGTGCTGACAAATAAGTCAAAGCAATTAAATTAAGGACTAGATTGTTATCTAAATGTTTTCCTGTGTCCTTATTGTTGGAAAATGAGTATAGTCATAGGAAGTTATAAGCGATATATAATTACCTCGGAGTAAATCATCTGAAAGTAAAATCTATTAATGTGGATCATTTTAAATTAATAACTAAATGTACGATGTATTTACCTATTTGATATATTTTTCATAAATATTAATGTTATTTACATTATTATATTCAATAATCGACGCAATTATATATACAAATCGTAGTCATAATTTTATATTTTAAATATTTTTATGGTATAATAAATTATGAACAAGATCAACCAATTTATTTTTAATCATTGAATATTGTGGTACACGTAAGAATATATATTTTTAAAGCCTATGTTTTTATTTTTAAACTAGGCACAACAAAATGTGCTTTAAAGTTAGATATTATTCACTAACTGTAACACTAATTACATAAGTTACAATTAATTATTTTTTCATGTATATATATATATATAGTTTAAGTTATTATTTTATTTGTATAGAAGGTAAAATCATGTTTAAAGTTATAGAGATAAAAACTCAAAACTTATAATTCATGTTATTTTTAATTTGTTGTAGCATAGGTTATTTATTAATATATATATACTGTTATTATAAATATTATTATTTATTATTGTAAATGGAGTTGATTTCCGTAAAAAAAGACTGTTATCTTTATTATTAATCATTATACCATGTTAATTTTGAATATCAAACATTTATGAAAAGTGACTTGGCCTGTATCATTAAACAATCAAATTTCTTACACATTAGATAAAGTTAGAAAGTTAGAAATATTTATAATAAAAATGATCATATAATATTTATAGTTCAATAGTTGACTAATATTAATTTTAATTTCAAGTATCAACAGTAAAAGAAAAAAAATTAATTTACGGTGACGGATCATTAATTGTTGACCAATTATTATCAATAATAGTATAATAAATGATTAGTCTATGTTGACTGTTTTTTGCTATAACTTTCAAATAGACTTTGCGAGTATAATTGCTGACGGTTTGACCTCACCAATTTTAGCTTCCTTGACATTTTTATAGCTAATAGAATCGGGCCTGCTGAATACGATAGGAAAATCGGGTGATAAGTAGTTCGGAGCAGGGGAGGGTTGTCTAAAAAAACAACTGACTTTAGTGCCTCAGCCACCAATACCAAATTATTTAAAATAATTGAATGATGTTATAAAAAAATCAGGTGATAAAAATTTAGATTCTAACATATTGTAAACAACAATTTATAAACAATTTTATAATTTAATTATCATTAAACACCATTTAATTATTTCAAATAATTTGGTGTTGGTGGCTAAGGTGCTAAAGTTAGTTGATTTTTGAGACACCCCCTCCTCCTCAAATTGGTCAACGAATCAGCCCATTTTTCTATCGTATTCAGCAGGCCCGATTCTATTAGCTACAACAATTTCATGAAAGCTCAAATAGTTGAGGTCAAACCATCAGTAGCTTTCTGTCTATAAGCAAAGAATCGTTCTTATCTATAAAATTGTAATCAATGCAAAATGGTAATAATAGTAAATCATACATATAATACTTTGAAATGGGATGATATAAATATATAATTAAAAGAAACGTAAAGTCACTTAATGGAGGACAAGACTGGAAAACATGAGCAACTGATAGGGAAAATTGGAGAATTTGATGTGTGACGGGTCTTAATGGCCGATGAACTCTAAGAAAAAGAAGATAAAGAATTATAATAATTTAATATTATAATGTTTAACTATAAGAGTAATAACTAATAAGTAATAACCCATTTGACATTACCCATATTAAATAGGTACTTAAACATTTTTCAAAATCATGGTAAGGTCAATAGATGACGGATACACTATAGATTATACAGAATAAAATCGTGTTATACACTTCTAAGTTCCCGTTCACCATAGTATATCATTTATTATTTAAAAAGTGATAATATTCTAGTATCCATGGAAAATGTTAAAATTCATTAAAATCGGATCTTCAAACCTGTTCTAGGCGAGCCTTAATTATATGAGTGAGCTTAACGATTTATACAAATTTGTCAGTATACTACAACAAATGAAAAATAATTGATTAACTTTACAAATTGAATTCAAGGGTTTATAATATTCGTTTTAAACGCTGACGCGACCGACTATAAGGAACAACTGGGATATTCTTCACGAAGCAACGACGAGCAACGATCGAAACGTCGGTTTACAATATCCTACCCTTGCGTTGAGTTTTTCAGGAAAATAGATCGGAGAACCCAAGTGAAAAAAAAAATTAAAAACTATAGTACAACTACAGTGAACTACTTGGTATTATAGGCGTAATAATTGTTGGTATACATACTGCGTAATCATCACATTTGGCTGTTTAATAGTGTTCGTAGTGGTCTGGATGGTTGGCGTGACCGCTCTTGTGGACGATCGCGTTAAAACCGTTTTCCTTGTCGGCCACGTACTCGACGGTCCTCAGTGTACCGTCGGGATCATGCACGCTGTACGACCCCTTCACTACGTCGCCATCTCTGTACTCGTGCGCGGTCTTGTAGTCGCCGGTATGCGGGTCTTGTACGCCGTACTTGTAAGAGTACTTTGGATGAGCCTGTGGGAAACATACACACACACACACACTCACGTTAGTGGATCTTTTCTATGCAATGATTTTGTAAGTCGTTGTCCGCCGTCCGACATTTAGAAAAGTGTTTAGAAAATTATGATTATATAAATTAATAATAGTGATATGCTTTCGTCCGGGTTTTCACACAACAGCGACGGAGAGTATATGCGATGCACATTATTAGGATATAGGTAAGTAGGAAGTGTTGATGATACCGCATGGATTTTATACATTTTAGGTACTATAAAACCATAATATGGTGATACCCACATAGTAGTCCACGTGGTCGTCGTCGTCGTGTCCGCCACCGCCGCCGTAACCTTGAGGATACGATTGGACAGTAAAACTGACGTACAGCAGGACGCAAGAACCGACAATAACCTTTAGTGAGAAAAAAAAAGAAAGGTTTAATCGACGAAAAAAATGTATTTCAAATGAACATGGTTTTACACTGTACCTTGGACAACATTTTTCTTGACGTTGAAGAAAAACAAGAACCCACGACTGTATAGGTAATTATAATAATATTATACTATCGTATGGAGGACGATCAAAAAACTGCTAAGAACTGTAACACGTTCTAGATCGATTGATGGCGAGAATCTATTGTATTCCATTCTACGATCAACGCTATATATAACTACGTCGTTCCACGCAGTCTTCCACTTCTTTTCACACCGTCCGTGTTGCAAACTCAAACATTGCATAACGATATAATATTATATATTGTAGGTATAATATACACCTGTACAATAAACGCACAGTATTTTGTTTACATGGCGAAACGGTCCATAGGATGTGTTCATTATAGTCATTATTATATTTTAGGTAGTCATTATGTTTTTTTTTTCTTTTTTTTCTTTGTAAGTGTTATAGAGGTTTGTAGAGGTTTCCTAAATGGATTATTATATTATGCGCCGCAGCAATAAAATTGTTCAACCCCTTCTGGCACGTCTGTATGTGTAGTTAAAATGTGTGTCATTGTACCAGTAGGGTCGTAATATTGCATTGCACACGTATATTATGATATAGTTATTTATTTCTAGCTCAAAATAAATAGTGATAGTTATCAACCAATATTTTATGTAACATTATTATGTACCACTCATAAGTTATTACGATGTATTGAAAGTTAAACCCAAAACAGTTGAACCACAAAATATTATTTACATTCTATATTATATTATAAAAGGTTTCTTAAAAAATAAAAATACTTTTTAATTAGTAAATGTATTGTAAGAACATTTTAGCTTGCGAAAAACCTGACATTGTATTCATTATAATTGTTTTTTGTTTATGATAAACTTAAATATTTACCATAGTATTATCACAAATGTACTTGCTGTTAAGTATATTTTTGGTATGATTTTCTAAACGAATACTTACTTTTAAAATAAAAAATATTTACTATATAAATTCAGCATTTGATCTCAATGATTGTCATTATTTATATTTAAAATCATAATAATGGCATATTTCTAGATTATATGTTTAGACATGTTGATGCTTATTTATTATTTTAAAACAAAATAAATAGTTTTTTATTTATAATTATAATAGCTAGTACACGTTTAGCAAAGTATTATTGAGCAAAGATCTAATAATATCTTCGCTATCCATACTTAGATTTTCTAGGTACTACTATACTTTTATATGAAAAGTAATAAATAATTAACTAATTACTTTGTTTTAAATGTTAAGGAATATATTATTAACTATTAAGTACTCATTCTTATAATTTCATCGGTAGGGATGAATAAACAAATAATATATTATACGCATATTTAAGTATTTTAATATACCTCAACTTAATTCATAAGTTAAGGTGAGGTTTGTTTCAAATTAAAAATTAATTTGCGTGTAAAAACAATTTAATGAAGTTTATATTAAAAATATAATAACGTAAGAAATTTAATAAAGAAATATTAATTACCTACCTATTATTCGAAAATTTATTTTGAGTTTTGACGATTGGTTTATCTTAAATACGATTCATTTTTAAATTTTAATAAAAAAATATCTATAGTTAGTTAGTGTATATGTTACGATAAATTACGTTAAATGGAAATTAACGTTATTCACCGGTTATTAACGTTACTGACCAATTATATAGGTAATTATCGTTATAAACCGGAGAATCACGTTAATTACCAAATACACAGGTAATTTATGTTGTATACCAGGTATGCACGACGCACACGAGTCTCAAATACTACAATTTGAAAAATGATGTACCTAGGTATTTTTAAAAATAGAAAAATGCATTATTATTATTATTATTATTATTTATTTATTTTTACAAGTTTTCCTGCCATGGCATGTACTGTTACATAACTTTTCAGCAACACAACAGGCACAACGTTTATTGTTGCAACCAGTCTTGCAATGAATGGCAACTCCGGTACCTTTGAGGGCCCGCCACACAGTGGCGGATCCAGGGCTTAACTTGGGGGGGGGGGCAAAAGTACAAAGAGTTCCAAAATTGGCTAAACAGTGTAAAACAAAGGGAAACTTCTGCGATTGGGGGGAATGCCCCCTTTGCCCTCCCGCTGGATCCACCACTGTCACAACAGAACTATTAGTAGCTGCTTTCCTCAGTGTTAACTGTCTACTATCTGCTAATTTGATCACATTGTCCATGTCTAATAGTTTTTCTTCGCAAGGAACTATTTCTTGGCGTATGTAATTGTACTTAATATGTTCCGTACCCATAAAAGAAATATTAATTACTTTTAATATAATTTATTTATTTTGATTTGAATGATATATTTTTATTAAGAATTAACTTGCAGAATTTGTATAAGTCATGTTCAACTTGGGTGACAACTGCTAGTATATTTCGTGGATATTTCATTATTTTATAATCAACATTTCCCATATCATACGGACATTCGGATATTAACGCTATTCACCAGAAAACAACGACCATTCCCACATGTATTGCTCAGTTATTGCCAACGTTATTTTCAGATATAACATCATTTACCGTAACATATATTATGTATATGTAGGTATACGTAAATAAATAACTCTTCTATTATAATTAATAATTATAACTCTTATAAAAGATTAAATTACGGAACTTGATGTTGTAATTTAGTGACCTTCAATAAAAATTGGACGGCCTACATATATTTTTCTTCTTTAAAAATATACATTGTCATTTTTTCATTTATTTTTCAATAACATCGTTTAAATTGATAATAAAACTTATAAACTCTTGACAATGATGAAAAAATTACTATTTATTGAATGTAGTAAATGACTATGTGCCTATGTATAGTGTATACCTATTACTCATACTGACAAGCATAACCATTCAACCATGTACAATTGTTAATTAGGTATATAATATGTATATATATATATATCACGAAAGCAATAAACCTTATAGGCGTCTCTTTACTTGTCAACACTACAAATTTTAATTCGATGATATCAATGTAGTATTTACCAATACGTATTATTCTGTTATTAATACCGAACAATATGCTCTGGAGTCAATTAACTTTTTGTGCAATGTAATCACACAAACGTAGTAGGTAAAAAATATATAGCTAACACTTATATTTTACTTTTATAACAGCCTATATTATTGAAATTGGATTTGATTAAGAAGTTTAAATCATAAGATTTTCCATTTGAGCAGACAATTTATAACCTATAGACTACGGGGTAATTTCAAGGTTAATTTTCTTCCAAAGATATTCTGCAAGGATACGTTCAATACAGTTTTGAATTCGCCCTATATCATTTATTTTATGTTGATAGTTCTTTGATTAAAAATCTATAATAGGCGTAAGTACGTGACACAAACAAAAATTAATTATTCAAGATTTATATAGGTTGATGTTTTTTGTTGATGAATGTTTTCTACTTTTAGAAATACAACAATGTTTTAATTAAATTGTTTATTGTATGTAGGTGAAAAAAATGAATAAAGAAGTTAGAAAAAATGTATACATTTATAATTAATAATTAAAAAATGAATTATTTTTTACATTTAAATACATTACATGAAATATTTAACAATTGCATTCCTAAAAACGAAATTATTTTAGATTCTGAGTGAAACGATGAATGTATTGATTTTACAATGATGTGTGTTTTTTTTTTTTTTTATTTTTTTATTTTTTTATTTTTTTATTTTTGTGTCTGTGTACACGATAAGTAGTCGAAATAATGCTTCGATTTTTGACTTCAGTATCTTGTTCGATTGGAAAGTGAATATCGTTGGTGCATTGGGGAGGTCAAAATTTAAAATTCCCAATAGTTTTCACAAGCGCCGGGAAAAAACAACATAAAAATTAAGGAAAAACGGGAATTTTTACGCAAAATCAGTTTTTGACAAAATCGAATTTGGTTTTTGGTGTAACTTTAAAACAAATGACCGTAGATACATGAAATTTTCACTGGTTGTTTATATTTGCATTTTCTATACACGATAAAATTTTCAAAATATTTTGATTTATTTTGAACTGTTTAGGGACATTTTCATTTTCCATTTTTTTTTAGTTTTTTTTCTAAAAATATCAATAAAATTGTATTTGTTGGTTGCGAAAGCTTGAAAATTTAATAGAAGGCTCCTAATATGTTGTTTCAAAGGCAGATGAAAAATATTAAAAATCCTTAGTCACAATTTTTTTTTATAAGCATTTAAAGTTCAAAAATTGACAAAATATGGAAAAATCACGAAAATTAGCAAATTATTTTGAGTTAAGAATTCCTAAAAATTTTTCTTTTTAAATCTAAGATTTGAAAATGAAACACAAGATTCCTTATAAGATTATCTACCTTTATCAATAAAAAAATCTCTACCGGACAGTCAAATTAAATTTTTATGAGCGTTTGAAATTCAAATTTTTACAACATTGGATTTTCACTTGATTACTCATGTAGCGATTTCCTTATTTTGTTGCAATTCAAAAACGAACAACTGTAGATACATGAAAATTTCACTGAATGTTTAAATTAGCATTTTCTATACACCATACAATTTTGAAAATATTTTGACTCTTTTTGAGCTGTTTATGGACATTTACAGCTTTCAATTTTTTTTAGTTTTTTTTCTACAAATATCAATAAAGTTTTATCTGTTGGGCCAAAAAGTGTAAAAATTTAATACAAGGCTCCTGATATATTGTTACAATAGCAGTTGAAAAATATTAAAAATACATAGGCACAGTTTTTTTTTATAAGCATTTAAAGATCGAATTTTGACAGAATTTTTCAAAATCTCGAAAATTATTAATCATCGTAATTAATAAATTCTAAAATGTTCAGTTTTTATAGCTAAGGATTGAAAATTTAAAACAAGATTCTACGTAAGTAGTTAATTCTCTTACCGAAAAATCTAAAAAATATACAATCACAGTTAACTTTTATAGTCATTTTATGTTCAAATTTGGACGAAATTACATATTAAAAAACCTAGTTATTTTGTTGTGATTATATAATATTATTCGTGGGTACCTACTTGAAACTTCTAAAGTGTACTATTATATATCAATGATAGTATCAGGGTTTGTAATTGATCTTGATGTATAACGTGTTATAAGTACCTAATGGATATTGTGATAATGTGATATGATTAATTTGGAATTTATTATAGGTCAATTTTTTTTTAATACCATAGATATGTATATAATTTGTCTTAAACCTAGACTGACATACCGTCTTCGCTCAGAATCGTTTTTCTTATACAATGATATTGTATCATTGAATTCAAATTTAATACCATCCATTATACAGTGACCCACTTGTAACCTACAGTACAGCAGAGCGACATCCACTTACCCACCTTTTTTTTTTTAAGTTTGATATTGTACAAAAATTAACTTCTACTGAATTATAATATCTCTAAATGGAAAATACTGTACTTTGATAGTAATATTATAGGGATAATTTGGTTATTTTACAATTAAAATTGTGTAAATATACAATATATATAACATTTAAGTGCTCTGTGAGATTATTACGACCAAAACTTTATTGTATGGAAATGAGTTTCGACCAAACGGGTGGATGAACACTGAACAGCGTATGCATAATTGTTTTCTAGAGACTGAGTACCTATAGACATCTATGTAGTTTATAGGCTAATAATATACGCATATGTTAGTATGTTACATTATAGTGTGGTCGAAAAATTCTTCTTTTATTAAAATAAAAACCAAATAAACAAACATGCACAATATTAAACTATCATATTATATTGCAGCCTCCCTACACACACACACACACACACAACACACATTTACATAATGTGTAACACTGGTCGACATTTATAATTAGGTTAGATTTGTTTAACGGCATCGTTAATCAACGTGCCGCGGCGGTGTAAACGCACATTAGTAATAAATTCGGGCATGGCGTTTCCAAATTGCGGACTAATATAAATTCGGCATGACAGTTCAACGAACGAGAGAGAACAACGATAGGAAAATGTGTCGAAACCACCTTCTTAACTGTGAACGGATCATTCGCCGCACGCCATGGCTAATCGCAACGACTATACACGTCGACTATATATTGTACTGCGTTTGGGTTGTGCAAACCGCCAAAATACATTTAACAAGGCGTGATTGAGCACGGCGGCCTTGTGTTATTCTACGGAAACCTAACACATCACGCAATGATTGATAACGCACACACACACACACACACACACACACACACACTCACACTGTACATATTGTATACCATTGCAGTGCGTAGTTGGTGTATGTCATCCAGGCAAGTACACAAAAAAAAAAATCGGGGGCGGGTTCATAATCTATATATTATATAAATAATGTACACAACTATTAATTTTCGGGGGGGGGGGGGTGAACCCTCAAAACCCCCCTCTGTATACGCGCCTTATCTCGTCAGCAGGGAACGTGCGTACACTATATCATATAGGTAAATAGAGGAGAACTTAGCGAACAGCTGGTTTTGCGGGTAGCTAGGACGGACAAGAATGTTTTTTTTTGAGGAATTTAAAGATTTTATAAAATCAAATAATATCATTATACGGTTATTATACATTTGCACGGGGATGTCATGTAATATTATTTCATAAACCTTCACAAGATCGTAGTGATATTGTTTATTTTATTTTTTTTACTAACTCCGTCGACGTGATTATTATTGTTATTTTGATTCGTCTCGATTCTGTTTGTTTTCAAAATTTTACCAGTGATGTACATAACTTATATTGAAGAAAACATTCAATAGAACCTCTGACAAAAAATTATGACCTTTTTTATAAACCGAGTTATTTCATCGTGAGGTTCCCGTGTCATTAGAACTAATACTCTTAAATCACAACCGAGAATCACGATTATCGTGCATCGAGCCTTGTCGTCTTAAAATATTGTACAAAATAATTTTATAATTACAGTCATACAAAATGTAAATTTATATTCATCAAATACATTTAGGATTATAATTTATATTACATTTGTAAAAATTCGTTTGTACATAATATATAATTATAATATTCATAAGCATCAGATCAACGTGAAAAACAATCAAACCTAAACGAAATATGCGTTTATTGCTATTAACACAATGATTATATTATACTAGCAAATGTCCTTAAAACCGTAAACGCTTTCTTTCGAAATCAAAAACGCTATTGGTCGGTGGCAACATGAAGACCGGGAATATCTGCGATTCAGCCGCCTGCAACTGCAACTGTTGCCGGTACTGTTCCACTGTGGTGGCCGGATTTGGTTGGTGGAAGTATTGCATCGGTACCACCGCGTGGTGCTGCTGTACGTTACCCCTGATCTGCAGCTGCGACGGATGTGCAGGTATGTTGACCTGTTGCGGGTACTGCTGTTGCATGACGGACTGCTGGTACGGGACTTTTTGCTGTTGTTGCTGTTGCTGTAGCTGTTGCTGTTGCTGCTGTTGTTGCAGTTGCTGTTGCTGCAGTTGCTGCTGGTGCTGCTGCTGAATGTATTGAGGCGGTAACGCCTGTTGCGACACCACTCTGGCTTGTTGTGGCTGATATTGGACTGTCTGCTGTTGGTTAGGCGTCAATTGGACGTGTTGCTGTAAGTGCACTGGCGGCTGTACCCTTACCGGCTGTTGTTGGTATTGTTGCACTTGACTGGGATGAAGCAATTGCTGTTGACCCTGAGGCAACCTCAACTGTTGTTGGTGCGCCGGCGTGGGCTGATACTGCAGGTAGTTTTGTTGTTGCTGATAGTTGGGCGGTGGTGGCTGCTGCTGCTGCTGTGGTTGTTGGAGTTGTATCATGATGGGCCCCCGATCGGGCGTGATGGGCAGGGGCTGTTGACCAGGCAGTAGCGGTAGCGGTGAGTTATCGCCCAGCGAGGGCAGTGGTGGTACGTTTAGCACGTAGTGCGACGGCTGCTGAGCCGGCACGGTGGCCTGCTGCAGGTTGTACGGGACTACGGGCGGTAGGGGCCCGGAATTCTGTACCAGTTGATTTGACGGTGGTTGCTGAGGAGGACCGACTTGGTACTCGGCGTAAGACGATTGCAACTTGTCCTTGAGCTGATCGCCGACGAACGGCTGATTGGTTTCCTGGAAGCCCGGTGAGTCTTCCGGCCGAAATGTGGCTGGGTCAACGTTGGTCCTCTGCTGGTGATACGCGTGCGCCGTATCCACCCGTTGACCGGCCGCGGCCGCGGTGCTCGGCGTCGGCCGATGATACTTGTCATGCAACGGAGACTTGTGTTGTTGTGACTTTACAGCCGTTTGTATGATCTGTGACGTGACCCGCTGCACGGGGTCCAAACTAGATCCTTCAGCCACGTACTGATCGCCACCGCCATTGTCCTTGACGTAAGCCCTGCGCAAAACGATCGGGATGAGTATCTTAATTATTATAATGCGTTCTGAACAGATATAATTTGAAACAATCTTGATTCTAATAAACTATTCCAGCAATTGATTTATATAAAATGCATTTGGAATTCTAAAATTTACTTTACTAAAACTTGCTTAAGCACCTAGGTCATTTATCATTTTACCAACTAGTAACTACTACTATTGTTTATGTGGATGCTGAAGTTTTAGTAATAGGTAATTCTATAATTAATTGTTGTGTTACACGTCGTATATAAACGAATAATCAATCAACCATCAATGATTACAAACTTTAGTGACTGCGATCAACACAAATATTGTATTTTTTAAGTAGGTACAGAAAATTGTTTTTTTTTTTAAGGGATTTAATAAACCAATCGTTCCACAATTGGAATATACAATGAAATCGATTCGATATTTGATATTTTTCAAGGATACGTGTTTATACTTTTTAATTCCAAGGTTTAAATTAGAAATACAACTAAAGAATATGTAGTATTGTAGATTCGTTACATGTTTTGGAATTTTTAACTTGGAAATGCATACAAGCATGGTTTTATCTGCCCTCGAGAATGCCTTGTCGTTTATTGAATTTGTTTAATTCATGTCATGACTAAAAACAAGGACTTTACATTTTGATCGATAATAATTTCCTATTTTTAAAATATTATTAATTGGAAGTTTTAGTAATTTAAAAAAAAAACCGATATTATAGTATTTAAGTTATAATATATTAGGTAGGTGTTGAATTATATAGGGAGGTGCAATGATCTAAAAATATAAATATTTTGTAAGGTATGGGAATTATTATTATTATTTTGTTAAAGTATTAGAATAGTGAAAATAACTAATGGAGTAAGGACAGTAAGGTTATATTTAAAACTAATACACATATAAAATAATATAAATATCATCATTCTAGATATAATAGAGAATAAAATTACTCAAATGTATTATAATCTATACCCATTGTGATGATAATATATGAGGCAAGGTTGTTTTCTATATTGCGACGATATTCAGAGTTAATTTAAACAAGTAAAATACATTTTAACAGATCGCATAAATTAAAGTACCTAATATCAAATTAATTACATTGCACCAACCTAATTAATAAATAACAACTAATACCATTTTACTTGCTAGTTATATAAATTAATATTTTATATAAATCGCATCTGATTGAATTATTACTATCTTCACCAAAAATGTATAAACAATAAGTTAAAAAATCAAAACTACTTCTAGGCTATTTTCGAGTCTTTTATTTTTTATTTAATAGAAATATATATTTTAGTAAATAAAAAAATATGATACGTAGATACCCCAATAAAATAAACTAGGTGTGAACAATTATTTAAACTTCCATTGCATATTTATTTGAAATATATGGGGGCAGGCCCAAACATATGAGATAATTAACATAGTATTTTTAAGTAAGTATGCAGCATCGGTAATAAAATAAAATTAGGGCAAAACGAATTGGTGCTGCAGATGTTGTTTAGATGATTGGCCATATATATCATTCACAAAGCAAATTATTTTTATTAAAATATAATTATATTCTGTGCCCCAAAATAATAACTGATATTATAATGGTTGATGACCTTTATTTTATATAAAGTCATATATAGATATAATGTTTTTGTCTGCAATGCAATGGTTAAATACAATCTACATTGCAGACGACATCTATTTTCTTGTATTTAATTTGTCACGGGCAACGCCGTGCAGGATCAGCTATACCTAATTAATAAAATATATATCTACCATATATAAAATCAAAGATTTAAAATTATATCCTACCTACCATATTATGAAAACTATTTTATTTTCCGTAACTAATGGAAACAACATACAAAAAAAAAAAATGGTTTTTTGAGAGTCAAATATATTATTCAACATTTATGTGATATTGAAAAGTGAAAAGTAAGTAATTAAAAGTAGCCTATAACACTACCGATCTTGCTGTATCTATTATTGAAAATGGTATAAAAATCGTTATGACCATAAGAGTCGTCCGTTTTAGTCTTTTGGTTTTAAATAGAAAATATTTTTTATTATAAATGTATATTTATTAACTATAGCTTATCATGCACGCCGTTGTCCTTTACAAATTAAATAAAACCAGTGGATTTATCCTGCCTTAAGCTCAGTTAAATGTGAGCTTAACATATTTATAACACATTCATCTGGGTAGTTTTGACCAAATGTAAAATACAGATCTAAAATTATATCCAATTATAATAAGTAATACCTAGATCGCTTACACATACACAAACAATGCCTCTTTTATGAGTATAGATAATGATATTCTGTGCAGACTGTGCTACAAAATAATAGGTTACTGATAATATTATAATGCAGTGGTTTTCAAACTGGGTGCCGCGGCACACCGGTATGCCTCGAGAATTCACCGAGTGTGCCGAGGTCTTTCGGAAAGTTCAACTATTCGTCCAAGAATAAAATTATAAAAATTTGTTAGCCCGTCATTCGGCAAGCACTCATTTCTAATTAAATGTACTTATATAATTATAATTCAAAATAATTTTGTTCATCTAATTATTTAGTGCAAAAAAAAAAAAGGTCTGTGTGCCTTGAAAATTTTTTGTGGAGCATGGTGTGCCGCGTTCAATAAAAGTTTGAAAACCACTGTTATAATGGTTAATATGTATGTAATTGCTGTGTATAAATAATAAATAGTTGTATATATAACTATATATAGATAAAATGTGTTTGTCTTCAGTTTATAATATAATCTACATTACAAACGAAGCCTAACGAAATAAAACACTTTACAGAAAACAAATAACTAGGTAATCTAAAATTTAAAAATCTAATATGGTATGACTGATAAATATCGTTTAAAGTAGATCTTCAAAATTACAAGGACTAGCGGTATGCACTTACTTTACACCGTCTTTGTCAGCAACATAAGATACCACTCTAATTTTACCGTCAGGTTGAACTTGCCCGTAACTTCCCACAACGCTTCCGTTAGGGTGACGTTCTTCCATACGGTATTGTATGTTGTTTGTTGGCGCATTTTCCACGTCGTATCTAAATTCGTAAGTGTTCGGTCCCTATAAAATAGACAAGAAATGCGGCCGTAAAAATATCACTCAAGTCTCAAAATCGAAAAAAAACCTATACACTATAGTATTATCGTATAGAATTTTTATTCGGTTCACTCGCGAGATATTTTTTATTCTACTTACTTTGTGATCTTTTTTCGATGTGGACGCCCATTCGTTTTCCAACTGTCTCTTGTCGTGGACTTTCGTGTCATCTGCGAATGATTGCGTGATCAACCCGACGACCACCACCCATACAGACATCTGCACTGCCGCATCGAGTCTTACCTGTATTATATAATATGCAACACGGAATCAATCGAGCCCGATCATCAACAATATTAATTATTAATAGAAAAAATTACAGTGCAAATTATATGATATAATATTATTAGGACACGTAGTTATATAGTTATAATAATAAACAAACGTGACATTTCTCACTTGAACGTAGCCGATGCGTGAAACCATTTTTACTCTACTGAGGCCTGACTACTGGTCGCTCTGCGGTTGTATTTATGATAATTATTTTTTCTTCTAAATTCTTAGCGTATAGCTACTGTAACTATTTGCACCTTATATGGACGAGTAACGGTTTTACCGGTTTTCAAATCGGCAACTCTGGAATCGCGTTTCCTGTTCGAATAGCGTTGTGCTAAAATAATAAATCGCTTAAATCCCTATGTTATAATATTAATGAATCTCATTCTGAATGTATTATACTAATGCCGAAAAAACTACCGTTTTACCTCGAACCATGATTGTGTTCACCGTGCAACTAATAATCGGTGAAATGATCAGTTTTTAAGGATATTAAGACTCGTATGCAACAGACACACGACCTTGGTAATATTTAGATATGTGTCCATGACCAATTATCAATAAGAGGCTTTTCGTAGTCTTAAATGAGAGAATTGCATATCAAATAGGAAAGAGAAATATTATACATAATAATATGTATTTGAAACGAAAAAACTACAGTGTGTATACAGGAGGTGACTATACGCATATTATATAAATATATTTTTATAATATGTATTATTGGTATAGGTATTTATACTGAACTTGAAATTAATACAGAACAAACACCTTTAACTTAAAATATTATCGTCTTCGTCTATATAAATATTGATGGTATAATATTTGCCTAATTGATAATATAGGTACCTAATAATAATAATGTTAACTTATAAGTTATAGATCATTATTCATAGGTATTTGTTACATTAAAATATTCAATTCTACAATGATACATAGTACTGTAGGTATATCAAATATTGCAATATTATTGAATAAGAATATTATGTGACATCTTACATATACTTATACAATAGTGTATCAATGGTTTTCCATAGGTCTAGCATCATAATAGTATGAACATACTTAACCTCAAACGTATGCAAGAAGAAAGTTACGTTCCCCATATCATTCAATAAAACATCAACACATGCGATGTAGGTGGTAAATAAATATGGTCTTAGAGTATTAAAAAATAAATATTAAATAATTTATCAAAATCTATACCTATTATAATATTATAATAGGTATATTATAATATTATTACATATTTTTACAATCCCCTATAAACAACTATTCGTCAATCAAAAACGCGAGTTATCGTCTTATTATTATTATTCATTATAGACATGTCATAATAATATTATAAGTGATTTCAAGATGGATACTTGTTATAATAAGATCAATATAATTTTACACTGACGAATAGCAATAAAAAATACATAAAATACATACCTCCACTAAAATTGTAATTGTATTAACTGTCAACATAATTTAATATTTTGTTTTCGATATTATACGTAACGGACGTTGACATTAGTCAATTTATTCCTGTACGGACATTTCTATACAAACCAGTGGCGTACCGATAGGGTGGCATGGGCCCACGGATCTGGGCCCTTCAAGAAATATCACAAATCCAAAAAGAACTGATCACTATTATTTCAAAATTTAAAACCAAGATGATATTTAAAATAAAATGATATTCTCGCTAAATTAAATTTCTTTAAAATATAATAAGTTTACTATTTAGAATAATGACTGACACAATGTTTTATTTTATAGATTATTAATTAATAATTCATCTGTTAGCAGTATTAGGTCGTCGTCGGCTGCGATATTGTGATAAGTTTTGTAATAACGGTGTTCGTTTTAAATTAACTAAATATGGTTCATAATTTAAATTGGGCAAAGACGCACAGTAGACCTATTATAGCAGTAAAACTAAAGGACCTTTTGAAATTTAGATAGTAGATCCTTTTTAGAAAATCTGGTTTATAAATCGGACTCCGTGGCTGTGTTATTCGATTATACTTCAAAATGTTTATTGTATTTGAAGATCGCACATCCGTAGCTATCGAGCAGTTTGGACTACTGCAGGTTATCGTGATTATGGAAAGACTTAAAGACATAGGTAGTAGAAAGCATTAATTACTTATAACTTACAACCTATTAGAAGGGTTGTATCTAGAGATACCTACATTTTGTTGGTGGGAGCATGTTCCTCATAGTGAGTATGCATTTATACAACTAAAGGACCAGTGTATTATTTTGCTATAGGCGTCAGAAGTTCTATAGTTACACCACTGCAGATACAAATTATTATGCAAGCGTGCAATAGGAATTGCATACCTAGCACTTCATGTGTGATGGACAGTGTCAATATTCTGTATTTTAGATTTTGACTAAAAATATAATATATTATTGTTTATTATACTATAGTCTTGATAAATAATTGGTATTATACAGATCAACTTTTAAATTTTACTTAAATCAATTATGCAGTTTATGTGCGTCATATACTTGTACGTTACTTTTACTAATAGGTATACGTATAACATTAAGTAGGTACATAACGAATAAACTTGAAGAAGAAGCCAAAATGTGCAGTGGTTATTGATTGCACAAGTCTAAACAACAAATATCATTAATTTGTTTTCAAATTTAATGCATATAAACAATAATTATTAACTGTTATATAATAAGCGACCGTAGTGATCCGTTACCAAATAAGCAATTTATTTGCACCAACGAAATATTTCCGCAATGACGATAAAAATTGAAATATGATTTTATTTTAATCGATTATTAGTTATTATTATGTAGGTAGGTATTTAGCCAAGACTCACGATTATTTTGAGACGAGATCGTTGATCTGTGATGCCGGTTAATGATTTATTTGGAGCAAAAAATCATCCATCGTAAGCGACGATCCCGAAGTGGGAGATTACGAAACGCATCGAATTATCTCGCAAACGAATGCAGTTATTACTATTGCAATTACGTTCGATACTGTCAGAACAACATAATCATCCTGCAAATGGATTGATGAACAAAACAATCGGTTATCAGAAATGATCGTCGTCCTACACGTAAGTCAAACAAATGGCACTAATATAAGGACTAAAATTTATTGCAATTATTTATCTCACTTTAAGATCGTTGCATTATGTTGGTTCACGTTACGATCGTATGCCATCGAAGTCATACCTGCCTCGTACGCTTGGAGCACGTTTACAGGACCCGTTTCCGGCCAAGTACACGAAGTCAAACCGTGGAGTCCGTCTTCGCCGGCATCTTCGTACTCAGAATTCGAAGGTGCAAACGAAGAAAGCAATCATTACGGGCCAGATTATGTGGTAATGTACAGCTTATTTTATTTTATTCCTATACAATATGAGTATGTAAGACTGCCGACTGGGATTGGATTGATCCTATAGCTTAAACTTTAAATGTTTATACCAATGTATTATATAATTCAATAAAAATAGTGTGTAATGTGCACACTGGTTTGCCATTAAGGGGATTGGGTACCGTGATTTTCTGTCTTTATCTGACACATGCGTGACATACGATTTTCTACTAATTTTACTTCAATCAGTCCAATCGTTGTATTAAAGTGATAACAACTCTGAAAATTAATTTGAATTTAGCGTGAAATCTACTTGTGATTGGTCTGGCCACTTTTTCAGTTTTATTTAATAATATTTTTTAACATTACTACAAGATTTAATATTTTTCAAAAACCATCAATCAAATTTGTGGAATTTTGAGGCCAAAATTCAAAAATGTAACCGATCTAAAGTAGTCTTCACTCTGAATTCAAATACATTTTCAGAATTTTTATTGCATCAATATAACGATTGGACTGCGATTGAAGTACAATTAGTAGAAAATCGTAAGTCGATCGTGTGTTAGACAAAGGCAGAAAATCACGGTATCTAATCGCCTTAAGATTTATTTTCAAACTTAATAATAACTAAGAATTAATAACAATTTTATTTTAACAAAAACTTAAATTCAATAATATTTTTAATAAAATAAATGAATATTTACGGTTTAACTCATAACATTGATGAAATAAAAAAATTCAATGAATGATTAAGTTTAATAAAATATATATTTTTATTAGGTACTCATTAATAACTTATTTTTCTTTTAGTATTTATAGGTGGACTTAACTATTTTTTATGATAAGCAAATCATGTATAATATTATATAATGATAATTATAATATTATTTCATACATACTGTTATCACTTATCACTTATCAACTTATAAAATTATAACTCATACAATACTGACGTACAGTAGAACGGACTGTGGTATATAATTGTTTAAATAGCTTAAAATGAATCTAAATATTTTTAAATTTTCATTGCGAATAGAAAAATATAATAATGAGTATATCTAATTGTAATGGGTAAACTTTCAAGTAGGTACTTAATATTTTTTAATTACAACGAAAAACCTAAAAGCATAATATTATTTTTCATTTCATTATCCAACACGTAAGACAAATGTTGAACTTCAAATGTCTTAAAAAAAAAAATATTACCTATTATATATTATTTTTGATATTTTTAGATTTCTGTGAGAAAAACTTATGAGGAACTTTGTGTTAAATTATAAGTATTGTATATTACCTATATTAAACTTGAAAATTGTGTGCATTTTTGCCTTCACAATATTATTTTGAACATTTATGATATTTCAACAAGTTTTGTAAAAATTTAAACTTCAAACACTTGTATTTTGAAAAGTAGTGGTATATTTTTCCTTTTACTGTTTTAACCCCCCCCCCCCCCCCCAAAAAAAACCTTACCAGAAAGTTAGGATATTAAAGTTGAAGAATCGTAATTTTTACTGATTCTAAAGGCTACGTCAGATACAAAAAACAAGATACACATCATTACATCAATACATCAATGTAAAATAAAAACGTTAATCTCTCCGCTCAGGATAAAATAATAAATAAATATTAGATAACTTCTTATATAATTTACCATAATCTACAGTCATATAACATTTTATTACAAACAGTACCTAACCTTGTTTATTTGTTATAACTGGTCGGGATCGAAATCCTGAAAGCAAATCAAAATTAATTCATAGGTATGCCTATACCTATAGTCAACTAGTGAATTATTTTTTATAAAATATGTATTTATTTTTAATATCATAAATCTAAAATCTTCGATGTAGTATTTGAAATGTTGACATTATAAATTTAAATTATTTATTTGTAAATATACAATTGTCTTAACATCTTATAATACCAAGGAACCGACCTTATTGTATAATATAAGTTAATTATAAAAAGGTTTCTATTTACAATTGAATATACCACTAAATCAGTACCTATACTAGTTATATAGTCTAGTGCTTGAAAGTATATGCACTAAAAATGTTAAATGTCCAAAAAATGTATTATAATTCTTAGTAAAACTCAATAAATAGGGGAAAATCTGCAGAAAAGCTGTGTTTAATGTGTACAAAAATGAGGTGTCTTAAGAAATTATAATCCCTAAAAAATGTCATAAGTGTTTGAAAAAATAATTTTAGGTGATACACGAGCCCTCCAAATCTACATCAACTATCGTTTACGTTTGATAGTGTGATATCCTATGGTCCTATTTATTCACTCAATTTTGCTATGAATATAAACATTATAATTGTATTATAAGCTTTTTCTAAGCGACATTATTGCATGAGTATATTTTGCGTTTTTTATTATGAGTTTTAGAATCTGTACAACGTTTCTATAAGACCTATTCCAGTAGATCAAAAATTGTAATTGTAATTTTTTCAAGCCATAACTTAAAAAGCTAGGTATTTGTAGGAATTTGTTTGATAGTTTCCAGCATTTTTGTGTAGGTATGTATATGGTCCTGGTAGGCGGTAGCCCATAGGATACCTATATAGTATAATATATTCAAACGTTATTAATATTATTAATATATTATCTAGACCAATAAAATAAAGTGTTTATTAATTTTCTATCAGTCTGCGATGATATATATATCAAGATTTTTAAAAATATTAATCTTAAATCTATTAGGAAGTAAATACTTCAGTGTGGTTTCAACTTGCAATGCACAAATATGACGGGTAGCAACGACCCCTGTCCAGCCGTTAACCACTTCTAAATTTGATGTACAATAGTATATCAAATAAAATTTTTATGAGTGTTTGAAATTCATATTTTTACAGTATTGGATATTCACTCGATTTCTCATGTGGCGGTTTTGTTATTTTATTGTTATTCAAATGAATAACTGTAAATACATGAAAATTTTAGTGAATGTTAATATTTTTATTTTCTATACACCATACAATTTTGAAAATATTTTAACTCTTTTTGAGCTGTTTACGGACATGGTCAGTTTTCAATTTTTTTAGTTTTTTTTTTTCTATAAATATCAAGAACATTTTATTTGTTGGGTAAAAAAGCGTGAAAATTTAATGCAAGGCTCCTGATATATTGTTACAATAGCGGTTTAAAAGTATTAAAAATACATAGTTACATTTTTTTTTATAAGCATTTAAAGTTCGAATTTTGATAAAATTTTCAAATTTCAAATTTAATAATTATTTTGTTGTTGAAAATTTTATAAATTTTCAACTTTTATAGCTAAGGATTGAAAATTTAAAACAAGGTTCCACGTAAATAAGTTATATATAAATTACTTTATTCACAATAATATCATCAAATATACTTAGTAATATCATAAGCTGACTGACCGTTTTCATTTATAGTTTTTGTTATACAATGATATTATATCATTGAATTCAAATTTAACACCATCCATTACAGTGACCCACTTGTAACCTATACTCTCTACACATCTACTGTACATCAGAGTGACATACACTTACCCAACTTTTTAAGTATAAATGTATAATTAATGACTAATGACTAATGAGTAATGTCCATATTTTAAAAATATTTGAGAGATATTCTTTGGCGATACAGGGTTTTTATTTCAAATAAGAACCATCCTTTTTAATGTAAATTGTTAAGTAGATGATCTTATGTTTAAATGTTAATGTATCTATTGAGTATTTGAGTACCTAATCAGGTAGTTTTTGAGTTATTTAACTCTGTGTATATTAATACTACTAAGGATAATAGATCCATGGTATAGATTCTGATGATATGGGGGGGGGGGGCTGTCAATATTTTACTATTTGTAAAAATAGTCTGAGTTATTAAGTGTAACTAGACTACTAGACAACTAGACTTAGTCAAGAGTTATTTGTATTCAATAACTCGTTGAAATATCGATTTGGATACATAAATATCAAAAATTCATAAGCATTATCAAAAAAAATCATCAGCTTATAAGAACTTTCTGCACAAAACAACTTCTTGTTAGTCATTAGTCATTAGTCATTCTCGTTGTAAAAAATAAGAAATTTGTATCACCTTAGAAGACTTCTTAGTTCTTAAAATATAATATAGAAAATTGAAGGATTTAAAAATATCAAACATGGTACAATATACTAAATACTTATTAGTAATTCATTCCCAAAATCATTATTTAAATAAATGTATCATTAATTGAAAAAAGTGGTTGTAAGCGTGCACGGTCCATCACCCTGATCACGGGTATTGACATATTGTATAAAATGTATTGATACGACACACAAGTCATTTGTGCCCAAAACCATTTTCGTAGACCATTTTCTCCCCAAATCATGACACATAATATGCACCCGATTTAAACAGGGAAAAATCGGGCAATGTTGAAATTTATTGGGTAACTATATTTAAAATCTAAAATATTATTTTATGATCAATTAGGAGCCAAGACGTTAAGACTAAAATCAACGAATACAATTTACTTATAAAATGTGGAATGAGTACCTACGGGGAGAAAATTCCAATAGTATAGAATACTTTAAAAAAAATTGACTTTACCTTTAGGAGGATTGATTAATTATAATTAATAAATGTTTGTGTTTGTATTATTGACATTCACATTTTTTTTAAAAAATTGAATACCGAGGATAGTATAATATTAAACAATATCAAATATATAGTTTTTTTTACCAATATTATATAACATTTTACTATAAACTTTTTACGAATTTTTCTCAGTTTTCACTGACGATATCGGGCAATGTTTTACATTACATTAGTGATTTTTTATTTACTGTATAAAGCAAAAAATATATATTTTTATTTTGAGTGCAAATTCCCTCAACTTGTGTGGCGCAAATGGGCTACTCCCAATTATTTATACCCATAATACAACGATCATTAATCTTGTATATGTTGTACCGCAGGCGAAACCCCATTACTCGTTCGCATATGGCGTGGAGAACCCAAACACGGGCGACAGCCACGGTCATTCTGAAACGCGGGACGGTTCGCATGTAACCGGCGAGTATACCGTAATGGAACCGGATGGCGTGTTAAGGCGGGTGCTGTACACGGCCGACCCCAAAAACGGTTTCCGAGCGTCTGTCCGGTACGTCCGACCCGACGGCGAAGAGTCGCCCAACCGCGACCATGGTTACCACAGCGGCCCAGAACGGTTACCAGGGCCGCCTCCGCATCAGCAGCAGCACTCCGAGTACGAGTCTGATGGCGGTGGCGGCGGTGGAGATGACGATGAACCGCGTCCGTTCGCGTTGCAGCCGCAATCACTGTCCCTGTCGTCCGAGTACGAGTCGGACGTTGACGGAGAATCATTCTCGCCGCAGTTGCCGCGACCACAGCCGCTGTCTTTGAACTTTGGTTTCAACAAGTACAACGACGTCAATAACAACAACAACAACAACGTCGACGATGATGACGGCGGCAACAACGGTGACTACGGCGGCGGCCGCCCGTCGGGGTTCAAGTTCCCGTCGCCGTCCAGTCCGTTCTTCAAGACGCCCGACGCGGTTAATGGTGCGTCGACGAAAACTAACCCAATATTGGTGGACTGAATTTTTTGTTTATTTAATATCATTATTTAACATAAACACTGTTGTAGAGGGTCTTTTATAAGCTCTGCGCCCTCGATAGTTGTGTGCGATAGGTATAAGAACGTGCATTGAAGGGTACCTACCTAAATATTATATATATATTATATTAGAGTTAGGATTTTGTAGGTCTATAATACTCTGAGAAGAACAAAAAATACTAAAAAAAAGCACCAACATTATTTTTATTAAACAAATAAAACATTTGAGACGTTCTAATACTATTTTATTCTTTGAATTTAATATAATATATACGTATTGTTCTATATTATAATATGACTATTATCAACAGGTTTTTGGTAGCAGATGGATAAAAAATCTAAATCATAAGACTCATAAGATTTATGTAAGAAAAATACCCGAGATAAATTTAAAAATTACTTTAAAATTTAAGGGTGATGGCAATAAAATCAAATACTTTGAGATAAAAATTATTGATCGACCTTAGCACACGTATTATATGTTTTAAAATAAATTTACCTTTCATATGTTATAAATACGAGTTGATTTAGAACACATTTTCCACAAAAAGTTATTATTAACAAAAATTAGCCCAATAATGTAACTTAAAAGTAAAAGATACCAAAAAAACCATCACAACAAAATTGACAAAACAGCGATATACAATTTTTAGAATTTTATCCCATATAATATATGTTTCTATCTATAGATAGTATGAATTAAAAAAATATGTACCTACTCTAATCTTATATATAATCTTTGTAATTTCTCTTCGTGGCAGAACGCAGATTATATTGTTTGTTTTTAAGTAGGTATCCAAAGTTATAATTGGTGAAAACCGTGCTTTATAAATACATCTTAAAGATTAACAGAGCGGTAAAAAAGCACAAATTTGACCTGTACAATAAGTTAATCGATAACGATTAGATACATGAACGTATTCGAAAAAAACGCACCAGTTATCTAACATAATATAAAAAGTAACAGATAGACCGAATTCTGCCGAGTTTTATTTTTTGATGTCGATAGTCGAAATTACATAATTTTAACCTGAGTCTACGAAGCGTTACGACCGTTTAGTTTTTTTTCCATACAGAAGATGTTTTTGACGATTATTGTGATTATTTTGTAGACCATTTAAAACAAGCGTTTATGCAATGTCGGTTTGTCCGTTCACCGTGAAATCCCAAGAATCGATCGCAAACCTCGAGTCTAAAGACGGATCGATACGGTGCAGGTATTCTGCAGCAGACAATAAGCACTGACGATGATCGTGGGCACTAGGTGTCAAACACCCTCCACTCCAAAAAAAAAATTCCAAAAAATCTATAAACCTTACAAAAACCACCTACCTAACAGTCAATTTTTTTTTGTTTTTTTTTGCGTTGTTCTCTTTCAGATTCAGGTGATTACGGGGACGGTGAGAAGTACTATCATTGGCCGGGCACGCTGGGCACGCCGCCACCACCGTCGTCGCCGTCGTCGTTTGGTTTGTCATCGTCACCATCGCCGTTCGGTTTGCCGCCGTCTGCGTCCCCCTCGTTTGGCGGCGACGGTGGCCCAGCGACCGCTTCGTCGACGACACCGTTTGTCGGCTTTGTCAAAAGGCCATCACCGACGGCGCCGCTGCCTTGCCGGCCTCAGCCGCCACCCAGCCGTGCGCCGCTGTCGTCGAATATTATGAGCTATCAGACGGGCCACTCAAACAGTCTGCCGTTGTACGTCAAATCGTCGGCCGACCGAGAGCTCGAACAGTTCCGGTCGCTGCATGTGGACATCGACGATGACGACGACCACGACGACATCGAAAACTACGAATCGGACGACAGCGACACGGACAACGCGCGCGTGGCCGACGTCGTCCGTCTGTCGCCGTCCCCCAAATCGGCACCGTCACCTTCGCCATCCACGCAGACGTCTACGCCACGGCCGCCTTCCCCAACGGCGTCAGCCATTGCTAACCCACCTGTGGCTTCTGCGCCGTCACTGTCGTTCCGCCGGCCACCGTCGCCACTCGACGTCCTCGACCTGTCGCCGTCACCAACCATGACGCCCATACAGCCGACCATTATCGACATCGACGTCTGACCCGCTGCCACAAACGATACTATGATTCCACCAACACAACTACAATAACTACAGTCGTAGTACTAAATTACTATATACAACACAAATTCTATTTCAAATCGTTAACTTTGATAAATTCTATCGGAAATTGATTTCGGAAACATTTCCACATAGTTTACGTCCCCCCTTCAGCCAAAATAATTTAATCAATATCGAACAATCTATACGGTGCATTCTTAATTGTCACCAAAAATGTTGTATCGCAACACTGATGCAAAATGGCTATAGCTTGGGGCCTACAAATTCATATATTATAGCACACGAGGGCTGCATTTCCGGTTACCCGTAGGAATCTATCAATACAATTTAGAGTTTTTGCATTATTACGTGACATTAAATATTATGTGCATAAGTGCATTGCAGGATGTTGCTGCACTTTTATACCTCGCAACATTTTTCAACCGTCAATAATTATATAATAATGCTTGGAGTAGGCTTATTTGTAGTTACCTACTGTTTTCAAATTTATTTTGAAAAAAAAAACATTCGTTTTAAAATTATCGGGGGTTAATAATTTGTATTCTAATGTTCCATAAACATTCACTAAAGATTTAATGAATCAGCAGCGAGCTAATGGCCCATAATTGATTGTTTACATTTTAACAACTCAATAAATTATTCAATTTTCAAATAACTGCAATCCAGCATAAAAGAAGCATACAGAGTAATACCTATATCTGCATTTTGAGAAAAAAATTCTTTACAGAACAACTGGAATGAATAAATTACGTATTATAATTATTATACTATATAAATATATATTTGAATTAACATTCGAATGATTTATATAATATCTTAAATTCTATGCAACTACAATATTAATTATTAATATTTTTAATTTCGATCTTATAATTATGGTAATCAATTTACAACCAACATAATACTATATTATATTATATTTATATATACCTACACACGTGCTCGTCAAGTCGTAGATCTTACGTATAAAAATGTATATTATTCTGAGTATTACTTTAAGGATATGATGGGTGGAGGATACGTTTGTATGGTTTCACCCACAGACAGAACGGTCAATTCGCCTATCTGAAACATGTACAGGACAATTATTATTATAGATCGTTTTAGGACCAGTTAACTGAGGTATATACTATATGGATATATATCCGAACGAATAAGTGTATATTATATTCTTATCTCTAACATTGTATTATTACGTGAAGTAGCCGTTCGTAGATGACATGTTGCGTTAATTTAAAATAAAAAAAGATGATACTGAGGTGTATTAATTATTGATCTCGTTTAAAAGCGTTATAACAATAAAATATAAATGCGTTCAAAAACGATTTCAAATAGAGTTCTGATAGCCTAAGATGCATCATTTTCCTAGAAACGAAGTGCTTTTGGTTATAATATACGTTTTTCAGAAATTTTGCCGTTTTCCTAGTAAAATTTTCACATAAGTTACCAGGAAAACATTTCATGAATAAGTCTGTAATTATTGTAATTATAATTTTAATTATTATAATATACTCATATCGTAATTTAATTCGTGAATAGTTTGTCTATAGTATTATATAATATATACAGTGACACATTCCATAACGAATACCTCTAAGCAGCAATCGCCCACTGACAGTTGAATTTTTTTTGGAATAACCTACAAACTTTCTACTTACTGAACACTCTGAATTGTGTACACAATTTTGGCGACCAAGAGTGTCATGCATTTAGAAGTTTCATTATATTTATTTATATAATATACATATATATTATTATATATTTTAGTTAAATGAATTTAATTGTTTTCGAAGTGATCTATTTACATTTTTGCTTACCACAACATCTGAAGGTTGAGTTAATGCTACGATAACCATGGAAGCCACTCTTTCGGGCTTCATTGACAAATTAGATTTTTTATTTCCTTCGACATTTCCGACAGCTTCAGAGTTTACTTTTCCGGGATTGATACTCTATATGAACAAATGCAAATGACGAAGTGATTATTATAATTATTAAAAACAAAAATGCTTGAACTCAGAACACGTTAGTGACTGAGGCCAACCACCGAGCCACTCCAGGCCCCTTACTAATTATTATTACTGTTTAAATTTTATTATACCTACAGGTATTTAAATTTCGTGCCTACAAATAAAAATTTTATAAACATGGTTTTTAACTACAACAATTCTTGAGACTTACAGTTACTTTGATTTTAGACCCAACATGAGCGAGTTCGTGTCTGAGCCCTTCAGTCAAATACGTAAGTGCAGTTTTCGACGAATTGTACACTTTTTGTCCTGAGAGTGGTAGCATTGTGTACCCAGCGGTGCTAAAAACAATACTAATCAGATTTCTGTTTTTCCACTTTTTTAGTTTGTACACAGTTGCACTGCATGATAACATTAACTGAGAAATTATTAAGAGTACTGAGTAGGTACCTATACAATATTAATACAGTTAAATAATATACTACCTATACAAACATAGTATTGAATAATGATTATTGATTGTAATTTGTGTTATTTAATGTAGTCAAAATACATATAATATTTATTTTTAAATTATTAAATTGAAGCATATTTAAATGTCTATACTATCACTATACTTGTTTAAATAAATTATTTATTTCAAATAAAAGTATATAGAATATATATTTTAGTGGTACCTATATATAATCAGTAAATCTTAAATACAATTAACACCATATATTGATTAGATGTTAAAATGATTAGTGTTGTGCTTATTCTCAATTTATATAGTAATTAGAGGTACTCTACCTGTTTATATTTATAATGTGTCCATCTATAATACCATATTTATTCATCGATTTGTATGATTCCCTGCAGCATGTGGTTACTGCTATAACGTTGAGATCGAACAAATATCTCCAGTCATTTGTTTCACCGTCTGAAACATGAGCCTTAAATTAAAAGATTTTAAACCCATATATTTAGGTAACAAAACGTATTTTTGTTGTATTTATTTAACATCAATTTCTTAGTACTTTCGTATAAAATCGGTAACTGATTACTTATGGTACCAAACAATTTCATCAAGATATACAATAGGTAACTAGGTAAGTAAGTAAATAAAGTAAAAACATGCAATATGTTAATTTACTACAATATGTTAACGCAAAAATAAAACCCGACTTAAATGCATTATTTTTAATCTTTATCTGCTACACTCAATTCGATTGACGTAAATTCTCACAAAATATTGTATTCATAATCCTTATTCACTCAATTTGTAACTACCAATACCATACCCCAGAATATTGATGTAAAATACACTAACTATCAATAGAAAATATACGTCTTGACTTGGAGTTTGGAAAATTAATTTACAAAGCTCTTCAGCTTACAAAAGTACCTATTCATACCTACTGCATGTCTGCATGAAAAGTTAATGATATTTAATTTCTTGTAGGTGAACATTTTAAATTTATTTTTGAAGAATTTGATTTTTTTTAATAATAATATATAGGTATAGGTACATATCTGCTTATATAGGATCATAAATGTATTAAAAATGTTTGAATTTCTTTTAAAACTCACCCTAGGGAAAATTAAATTGCCCCTGACCCCCACCCCTTTTACAATAAAAATAAACAGCTTGTGCGAACAGTGCCTGAGTTGCAGTACATAATATTATATTAATTATATACGCACCCAACATTTTGCTTTTAATCATTGTGCCGGCATTATTGATCGTGACCGACACTCCTTGGCCGATGGTGGTTTCGATCCACTTGAACATAATCAATATTTCCGATTCGCGAGTCAAATCACATTGAACCGGGTAGATTTTAGCCACAGATGACTGTAACTCGTCGGAAAGTTCCTGTACGTAGGAAACGGATTCAAGATGGTTATTAATATTTCGTTAACTTTATGCTAATCAATGTTGAAAAATATCAAATCATAATAAATCGCCAAGCACTTCATAGTTGATATAAATATATAATATAACAATATGCAATTTTGAAGTTCAAAGTACATAAGCATAATACTTACCAAAAATTAATTTTATAAAAGTTTTTATAATTTTTTCTTAACCTGTAAGGTTATCATAATAACTTAATGATTTATTACATTCTTAAATAAAATGTTTATTGTTTTAAGTGTATTACACATTTACACTTATATTACTTACTAGTGTGATAACTTTGGAATATTTGACGAAAAAGAAATAGATTATTGAAGAATTGTATGTAGGTAATGAATTTAATTTTTCTTAAAAAGCTACCATTACACATGTGTTACCTCCGTCTTACAAATATACAACATAACAAATATGTGTTCAGCAAAACCAATTTTGTGCTCCAGCTATCTTCAAATATTAATGTTAAAATGAGTATCAAACATAAAGGTAAGAAATTATCTTTGAATGCATGTTATTGGTTTTTTTTAAGTAGATATACTTGTGAATGATAGATATAGATTATAGAGCTATAGAGACAGTTGATTGATGTGGCGATATACCTAAATGGTCAGCAAAAAGCCAATAGATATAGTAAAAGGAAAACTAGAAGAGGTGTAAATATATATAGTGGTTTAACCACCCTCTAAATCCTAATAGATACCAATCAATAGTTTAACATTGTTTACATATTATGTTTAGTAATAATATTATTATGTTATATAGGTACTTCTATATGACTATAATAAAGGAACGTCGTTCTAGCAATACTTGTAACAAGTTGATTCTCCGAGCCACAGCGACGATTTTCAAAGGGTATTTTGACAGTTCGACCACGATTGACCGTCCGATCCCTGAACTAGCTCCAGTCACCAAGACGACTCTGTCAGTCCAGCGATCCATTTCTTTTGTCTGAATAAAATAACTGTCGAATATATTGTATTCACAATAAATCAATTAACCATACGCCACAAGTATAGTGTATACTGCAGTAACACACGTTGCTGCAGCAAATAAACGATCTGAATGACAGTATATATCGTTAGAGCAGTGAGTTCCAACTTCATACTGACCTTTTGATTGTTTAGTTTATTGTATAATCCATGGGCCCCCACACAAACTGTTCAGTGGGGCTGGTTCAGTCTTGAAGAATCCTTTTTTTTTTTTTTTTAATTTTTTATCTGACATAAACAATCTATACTATTTTTAGCACAATAAGTTTATAAGATAAAAGTAAAAGTAGAATAACATGAATGTTGTGAATAAGCAGCCACCCATTAATGGCTCTTGACTAATGATAAGAAGAAGAAATCTTAAAAAAAAAATAATAATAATATTATATACCGTTTTAATTACGTAATTATTTCACTAGTAACTACATAATAATTACGATCGATACATCATTACGTCCATATAATATGAGTTAAATATTTATTTTTTTTTTATTTATATCAAGGATTCTAATCTGCTGTATATATTAATAAGTGGGGTGTAAACCACAACGTACCTACTATTGCCACATTTTTTTTTACCTTTTTATCTATAAATGTATAAACATTTTCCACAAGATTCCACATAAATCAATGGTACTATTGAAAGTCAGGAAAATATATGAATAAAACATTTTAAAACAAAAACGGTTATTTTTACTATGGAAATATTCAAATATGTAACATTCATTAGACTACAATATACTGTCAACATCGTACTACCAATATTTGCGAAAGTTGGAACAACCGTTTACACATCTTGTTGAACACACGCACCCTTTTTAAAGTTAGGGTTAGATAGAGCTAAAATAGCGATGCAATAATTAGGTGAAGGTATTTCAGCACCAAAAAGACGAAAGTTTGGTAGCACCGCCACACCGGTGAACGTTTAAGAACCTAATGATCTAGAGTGGCTGATAATGAAATATCAGTGAAAGAATTTTTAATTAATATTGACCATTGTATTCATAAACGAAATAAATATTAACAAATTATTAGTTATATTCTTATATCATTAACTTTTTATATTAACAAATTATTTTTCAGTATTATTAATTTTAAATTATATTACATACTATTATTAATTTACCTTATATTATTTATATTAATAATAAATCGAGACTTTTTTTCCGATTCCCATAGGTACTTATGTATTAAATGATGCGTAATACCTAACCTATAACCATTTGTTAAATATAGTATATTTAATCAATGCTATAACCTTTCAGATTATATTATAAGTTCACAGTCAATCTTTATCTACATGACTACATACTTTATCTTTATGCTTTCATGTGCAGTAGGTAAGCCGCAGTACCTAAAAAAACTAATTACAAAAACAATGATACAATTACTCTAGTATTATTATATATTGTCGTCGAGGTTTATAATGTAAGAATAATGCGTATATATATAGGGTAGACCAGGGTAAAGCGGATAGCTGGGCAACCGGCAAAGTGAATAATGTTAATAACTTTTTGAATATTGGTGACTAAATAATAATGAGCATATAAGTTGGCAGCAATGTGTATCGGTTTTTGCCGGGATAATGATTTGGTATCATTCACTAGCTTATATTCACTATAAAAGCGTTTAGGTATACGAAAATAGTTAAATTTCTTAAAAAAAAACATTATATGAATTTAAGGTTTTTTAAATAATATTTATAAATTTACTTTTTTAAACTTAGTTTATTATGTTCATAATTATACTAAGTTTATATAGTTATTAAACACAAGTTCCTAAATCACGTATACTTAAAAAAAATAATGCTTATTCAAGAAAAAGTCAATCCGGGCAAGGTGGAAATATTATCTTTTTAGGAAATATTTCATTTTTATTTGATGAAAAAAATCTGAAAATGTCATATTTTGTTTATATTATAATATGAAAAGATAATTTTTATTTTGTTTTTATTTTAATAAAACGAATTTTATATTTTTTTATGATTATGAATTAAGTAGAATTAAATATAATATTTAAAATATTGTTTTTTTATTGCGAGTTAATTTACCGGGGATTAATTTATTCTCTAGGAATATTTTACCGGGGAGTCAAATTTCACTAAAGATATTTTACCCCCTTGAAATTTTACCCCCCTCGGTAAATTTTCTCTAGAGAAATTTTACCCCCCGGCAAAATTTTACTAGAGAATATTTACCTCCCGGTAAAATATTCTAGGGGTAAAATATCTCTAGTGAAATTTGACCCCCCGGTAAAATATTCCTAGAGAAATTCCGGGGGTAAAATTTCACTAGCAAATATTTACCCCCCGTTAAAATTTTTTTTATATTCTTCCAATTTCTTAATTACTGAAGTTAATTTCATAATGATATGTGTGAACAATAATTAGGTATTATATTGTTTTAAACAAATCATGTCTTTTAAATGTATTGGTATAAATAATTGATTAATATAAATAAAACGTCCGTTTATATAGATTTTCGTATTGAATTTTTCACAATAACTGTTTGCAGCTGATAAAATGAAGTCACGGAAACAGTATTATTATGTACTGTTTGACTCGCATTACCTAATCACGCTAATTTATTACAATAGTACACTGTTAATAATGATATAATATAATAACTAATAACATACAGGTACGAGGTACCTACCTACCTAATCTTTATTCTACTATTACTTATCATTATCGTGCGCGGATCGTTTGTCCTTTCATGTTTGTGTGTGTGTAGGTGTGGGTTTCATCGTGTCGACAACAGAACAGTTATTCTTTTATAATATCTACTGTGTGTAATTCATTGACATTTTGAAATATTCAACACATATCAAGAATTATTACATACATACAGTCCATAGTTTTTTGTCATTTGCTGCAGTTATTGGCATTGGTGAACCCCACTGCAATATTATACAGGTAAGAGACAAGAACTTTTAATAACACAATAACAATAATATTTATAATAGGTTATAAATGTATAAAAATAATTATTAGGTATGTATACATATGACATAGGTATGACATGTAGTTAAATATTGAATATTACATTATTTGGCCGTGGATGCGAATGCATCCTTTTCAACAGTATTTTTTTCTTTAAATTTCAAAAGCTTAACTCACAATCTTAATGCTGATAAATAATCAGTCCAATAAATTCAATCATATTATATATTGATCATCGATATCTAGCACAAGGTGGGTAAGTTAACGAAAATAATGAACTCGAGTTAAGTTAAGTTAAGAGAACACACGATGGCTTAGTTAGAAGCAGGGCTAGCAAACGTTATATTAATGTTATATATGACAAAAAAGCGATTGAAATTTGTAAACGTAATTATAATGGATAGCGATAATTACAAATAATTAAATACCACAAAACAAAATATATCGTTTAACAAAATATATTTTATATTATTAAATTGATTATTTTGATTGTTTTTAATTTAAAATTTTTCATAATTAATTGTTTTTAATATTAATTTATATGTTACTTGTTAGATGACTCTTTTCTTACAATATCTAGTAAGACATTGTATGTAACTTATTAATAATTATTCTACACTCAAACATAAACATTTTACAATATTAAACATTGACATTTATACACAATCGGTTATGAACAACTTGACTTTTAATAAAGACATTTTTATTAATATAATAATATACTTATTTGAGTTATTGATCATATTTATATAATTTAACTTTTTTTATTTTTTTATTTTTTTTTTTAGAAATAATTTACCGCTGGGTAAAATTTCACGAGGGAATATTTACCGGGGGTAAAATTTCACTAGAGATATTTTACCTCCATAATATTTTACCGGGAGGTAAATATTATCTAGGGATAATTCACCGGAGGAGGTTAAATTTCACCCGGTAAATAATCGTGGGTACACCGGCACTCAAAGATATCATATAAATGAAGATGTCTGATGGTTTTTATTTTGGTGCAACAACAAGACATATCTACATTTTAGATTCTAAGTGAAACGATGAATGTATTGATTTTATAATGATGAGTGTTTTTTTTTTTTAATTTTTTAATTTTTAATTTTTTTTAATTTTTTTTGTGTCTGTCATCACGTTTTAGGACAGTAAAAGTGCTTGGATTTTCTTCAACAGTAGCTTTTCTGATAGGAAAGTGAATCTAGTTGGTACTTTGGAGGGTCAAAAGTAAAATTTTCTCAGTAGTTTTCACAAGCGCCGGGAAAAACAACATTAAAATTAAGGAAAAACGGTTTTGGTTTTCCAAAAAATCGATTTTGGTTTTTGGTGTAACTCTAAAACAAATGAACGTATATACATACATTTTTCACTTGTTGTTTATATTTGCATTTTCTATACACGATAACATTTTCAAAATATTTTGATTTATTTTGAACTGTTTAGGGACATTTTAATTTTCCATTGTTTTTAGTTTTTTTTCTAAAAATATCAATAAAATTTTATTTGTTCGTTGCGAAAGCTTGAACATTTAATAGAAGGCTCCTATAGTATATTGTTTCAAAGGCAGATGAAAAATATTGAAAATCCTAAGATACAATTTTTTTTATAAGCATTTAAAGTTCAAAAATTGACAAAATATGGAAAAATCACGAAAATTAGCAAATTATTTTGAGTTAAGAATTCGTAAAAATTTTTCTTTTGATATCTAAGATTTTAAAATGTAATACAAGATTTCTTATAAGATTATCTACCTTTACCAAAAAAAAAATGTCTATAAGAAATTCAAATTAAATTTTTATGAGCGTTTGAAATTCAATTTTTTACAACATTGGATATTCACTCGATTTCTCATGTAGCGATTTCCTTATTTTGTTGTAATTCAAAAACGAATAACTTACTGTAGATACATGAAAATTTCACTGAACGTTTATATTAGCATTTCCTATACACCATACAATTTTGAAAATATTTTGATTCTTTTTGAGCTGTTTACGGATATTTACAGC